ATGTAAAATGAGGATTATTTACCTTCTTCACCATCTGTGAAGTGAGAAAGTTGACTATGAACGAGGATTTTTCTCTCAGTTGGAGACTCTGAGACTTTACCCCTGTGAGGGTCCTTTTATTGTTTGGATAAACCAAAACGTCTCCATTTAAATGGATCACACACGGTATCCTCTAAAACACAGTGTTTGCTTCAGATATGTTTTCATATTACGGAGATTTGAGGTTGTATTTAGCTTTGTAGAAACAACCTCCTTTGGATGTAATGTAAAATAAGGATTATTTACCTTCTTCATTATCTGTGAAGTGAGAAAGTTGATTAGGAACGAGGATTTTTATCTCAGTTTGAGACTCTGAGACTTAACCCCTGTGAGGGCCCCCATGTGTGATCGTCCTTTTATTGTTTGGATAAACCAAAACGTCTCCATTTAAATGGATCACACAAAGTATCCTCTCCTTTTCTCCCACTCGCTTGTCTCAGGCCGGACCGCTGTTTTATATTAGAATAAACAGTGTTTGCTTTAGATATGATTTTATGTTACGAGATCTGAGGTATCGGAGTATTTGGCTTTGTAGAAACAACCTCCTTTGAATTTAATGTAAAATGAGGATTATTTACCTCCTTCACCATCTGTGAAGTGAGAAAGTTGACTAGGAACGAGGATTTTTCTCTCAGTTGGAGACTCTGAGACTTTACCCCTGTGAGGGCTCCCATATGTGATCGTCCTTTTATTGTTTGGATAAACCAAAACGTCTCCATTTAAATGGATCACACACAGTATCCTCTCCTTTTCTCCCACTCCGTGCCCTCAGGCCGGACCGCTGTTTTATATTAGAATAAACACAGTGTTACAACCACATTTGGATGTGATGTAAAATGAGGATTATTTACCTTTTTCACCATCTGTGAAGTGAGAAAGTTGACTAGGAAAGAGGATTTTTCTCTCAGTTGGAGACTGAGACTTTACCCCTGTGAGGGCCCCCATGTGTGATCGTCCTTTTATTGTTTGGATAAACCAAAACGTCTCCATTTAAATGGATCACACACAGTATCCTCTCCTTTTCTCCCACTCGCTTTCCTCAGGCCGGACCGCTGTTTTATATTAGAATAAACACAGTGTTTGCTTTAGATATGTCTTAATGTTACGGAGATCTGAGGTTGTATTTGGCTTTGTAGAAACAACCTCAATTGGATTTTATGTAAAATGAGGATTATTTACCTTCTTCATTATCTGTGAAGTGAGAAAGTTGATTAGGAACGAGGATTTTTTCTCAGTTGGAGACTCTGAGACTTTACCCCTGTGAGGGCCCCCATGTGTGATCGTCCTTTAACTTTGGGTCTCCATTTAAATGGATCACACACAGTATCCTCTCCTTTTCTCCCGCCTCTAATGTCCATTCGTTTCCGTCCCCTTTAGGCCGCGGCAGCGACTCGGAGTCCGACGGCCCCCCCCACCGAAAGCTTCCCGACGTCCATAAGGACGACATGCTGGCCCGCCGGACCTCGGTCAGCGAACCGCGCACCGT